GAACAAAGCATTCAACATAAAATACTATAGGAGTATTTTTAGTGAGAGCCGAATACATTATAGAGATTCATTCCAAATGTTGCTTCTCATTCTTTCTTAGTGATAGTCTACTTGCTTTAGTAACCCCTTTACCATATATCACTTTATCTATCATATAGAGATATACCTTGTTTTCATATCTGTTAACTCGAATGTCCAAGAGACGTACCAACTCTTCTTCCTGATATAGTACAACATGCCTCCAAAGAAAAGACCCAACAAAAAGAGCAACAATTCCTCGACGAATCCAACACCACCACCACCTCCTCAGTTCAATCCCGCTATGTTCCAAACAGCTGTTACTACAGCTGTGATTGCCGATTTGTCAAAGATAAATCCTGGTGGTTCTGGTGGTTCCGAGAGTGGCATTCATTCCCAAAATCATGAAGGTAGTCAAGGGCATCAGAAGGAGTGATCCTATAACGACTTCATGAATTCAAAACCCACATCTTTCGACGGAAACTAGTCAACTGTGCAGACTCAATGTCTGCAATCCATCGTCTGGCAGCTATGGGGTCCTTCGCCCCATGAAAGTCCGGTGCACCACTGCCCCGAAAGTCCTTGAAGGACAGTGTGCGAGATCCCAACTGGCCAGATGCCATGTCACTCCTGAATGCCTGGAGGCGATCCTCCATCATCTCCAATATCCCCTCCTTTATCGACCCGAAGATAATGGGGGTCGACTCAAGGATACCTCTGGTGATCTCCAACACGATGAACTCGCACAGCCTCTCATCTATTGGCTTGGAACCTGATCCCGAACCCGATCCCTCTCCTGAACTACCAACTGCTGGCCTTGGGCGTAGTACCACCATTCTGAAATACAAAGAAATAACAACTGTTAGCGATACTGATACCCCTGGAGGGATCCCACCCACTACAAGTTCCCTGGTCTTATCTTAGCCTTCCTCGGTTTGGGTACGGATCCTCTGCTTTCAGTAGTACGGGCCCATACTACCTTCCACATCTATCTGTACCTTCCCCAAGGACCCTCGACTCAACCAGGTCCCTTCCCTACCGCTGATCACTGCTACTCTTTATCCTAGGCTTATCCTAGGAAACCTCTGACTCCACCCAACCCAGTCCTCAGCTGCTGAAGGCCTCTTGGTGATGCCAATTAACTATTACCTGAATACAATCACATGTGATGAGGCTCGGATAATCCTTCGAGTAAGGGACTCATCTCTACAACGGTTAGGACTCAAACAAGAGCTACGCAATAGAGTCAAATCCAACACTCTGAGATTATTCAACCCTGATCACATGTGACTTTAACGTATTCACCTAACAGTCAACTCCCATCACTTCAAAGCCCACATAACACAAAGCAAACACTATTTGGACATAAGGAAAACAATCTCAAGCAACTCTATTCTCGTAGAGAGAACTGAACTAACATACAATGCTAAACTCGTACTATCAGGAATAACCTAAACAGGCTACCCTACTGATGTCTACTCAGCTCTAGCATGCAACTCTTTCATATAATGAAGCACATAAATCAGGCACATAAGGCATCACTCCTAGATCCTTAGTCCTATTCTAGCATGTTGTTCTACAGAAACTGATAAACATAAATAAACTTGTATGGGTACATTGGGGAATACTTACTTGAGCTCAGCCGGTCGCGCATATCACACACTTTGTTCTTTCTTAAAACCCTTTACTTAGCCTTTTAGAAAACATTTTCTCTTTCCAAAATCTTTTAATCCTTCGATTTGAGTTCAAACACCCCCGAAGGTGTGTCCGAATCCCTCAAACCAGGGCTCTGATACCAACTTCTAACGACCCAAAATACGAGCCAAAAATTTCATTTTTGAAAACATACACTTAGCAAAACATTCGAATTAAAACGTTTAATGATCATAACATTTTATAAAGATATCACATGTATGGAAAACATTTCATAAAACATAATAATGTCACAGTACAGATCCCCAAGAAGATCTCATGATGCGGAATACGAAACATGTGTGTGATGGACCGCTACCGCGCCAGCTCTTTCCCCTTCGAAAAAGAGGTACCTGAAAACTGTAAGCACGAAGTTTAGTGAGCTCCCCCATCATACCATATACCATACAATCACATATCATACATGTTTCCAGGCATTTATGGGGTGCCCGACCTACCAGGTACGGCCATTCTGGGGTGCTGACCTACCCGTGTCAAGCCATTCTGGGGTGCTAACTACCCATGTCAAGCCATTCTGGGGTGCTGACTACCCTTCGGTCCTATCGACCGAACCTCGGGGACTATTTCACCCCTACTGCTACTATTACATATATCATAACATAACATATTATCAGACATATCTGGGGTGTCTGAACTACCCTTCAGTCCTAGCAACCGAACTCGGGGATTGGTCCCCTCCTACTACCTCTATCGCATATAACATAACAAGCTAGCATGCAAACATATAATCACAAACTGTCAGACGTATCTGGGGTGTCTGACTACCCTTCGGTCGTAACAACCGAACTCTACTACTATCACATATAACATATCATGCTAGCATATAACATATCAGGTAGTAGCAAACCTAGATGATATCACAAAGACAATCATCTAACATACATCTCCTACTGGTGGGCTGGCATTGTGGCCTTAGACCCACCGCTACTGGAAGGTAATTCACCTCGTAGTAGCTGCTGATCTGTGTGGGAATAGTCTGTCTGCTGCTGTTGCTGCTCCGGAAATCCTCCGGCTGTAATTCCCACAAAACACTTAGTCAAATACTGCTAACCGCCTTCAGGGTAAATTGCCCATTTGCCCTTAACAAGTCATGAGTTAAGTCATAGTCAACTGCCAGTTGACCAGAATCGCCAAGTTGGCTTGCTGACTCGCCGAGTCCCTTTCTCTATACCCAAGTCTTAATAGTCATGTATCCTACTCACCGAGTTGTATGAACAACTCGTCGAGTTCACCTTCATCCGAAGAACACTCTACGTTGTGACTCGCCGAGTTGTATGAACAACTCGTCGAGTCTGCTCTTGATCTAAGAAGATTGCCTTGAACTCGCCAAGTCAGGGCATTGACTCACCGAGTTCCTTCATGGATGAGTTCGGCTTCCAACTCACCGAGTCCACCCCGGACTCACTACACTACTCGCCATAACGAAAAGGGGGAAAACTCGGGGACTCGCGTCTCGACTCACCGAGTCCGATGAACGACTCACCGAGTCGTTACCATGCAATTATTATATGGTTGGTTCTGCTCGAATCTAGCTCATGCCATATATAGATCTGTGATCCTGGGGCTTGATTTATATGTAAAGTTTCCAACTTTACGTGTAAATAGGCAACCATGAGAGTTTTAGGGTCCAAAATGCACCAAAAGGGTAGATCAAGGGCTTTCATGTAATATGGTTCCAAAAAGACAGTAGATCTGAGCTCCTGGAGCTTAACCATGCCTAGATCTAACGGTTAATCAGCTTATTACGAACCCTCAAACCTACCCAAGCTTGGAAATGGTTCAAGAAGGACTTTAATGGAGCTATAAGGGACAATTAGCATGAAAACAAGGGGGAAAACGAGTTATACCTTAGGGAACACACTGAGATAGCTCAAAGATACTTGACCTCCTCTTCTTCTTCTTGATCTACTCTACTTCCCACTCCAAAACTTCAAGAGGACACATCAAATGCTTCAAACTCACAAGGAAACAAATCTTGGACGAGATATAGGGCTCTGAGGGTAAATGGGGGTGAGCTTGGGTCGCACAAGCTAGCTTAAATAGGGGGCAAACCCTTAGAATTAGGGTCTCATCAAACAGCGATGACTCGCCGAGTCCAGGATATGGACTCGCCGAGTCGCCAACTTAAGCGTGCCCCCGGACCGCGTCCCTACTCGGCGAGTTGGACCTACAACTCGCTGAGTCCAAGGCTAAAATGACAATTTGTTAGATAAATTTTTTTACGTACCAGGAACTAGGTGCTACAATTTTTTTTAATTATTACTTATTTACGCTTTTATATAATATTAATTAATTTTCGGAAATATACAACAGGTTTGGCTTTAGCCTAGTTGGTTAGAGCTTTGGTTGTATAAGAAGGTGAGAAGGAGGTCTCGAGTTCGAATCCTCCTCTCCTTATTTTCTATCATTCTTAATAAGTTTTACATTTATTTTTACATAAGTTATATATATATATATATATATATATATATATATATATATATATATATATATATATATTAAAAGTTAGTTTTCAATAATTTAAATTATTAACTATATATTTTGATAGTCTTGATCATTCCATCAAATATGACAATGTAATTTTCTTTCTACGCGATAATTATGTGGAATAATATTTTTATTACATAATATCATGATTTACATATTAATAATCACGACAAACCATAAACATATTATCTTTTAGCAATATACTTTAACTTGTATAGTTTATTAATGAATTATAGCATTTTAGATTGCTATTTAATAAGTTTCTGACCTATAATAAAGTATGATGCTATTTTGTGTACAAAACACGAAAATCATCAAAACTTTAGTAGACACGCATGTATTTTCTCCCAAATATTAAAACAGTAAAAGAGGGGCCGTAGAAACTCACTTTCGTAGCGTGAACGAGGCTCGTGGTATGAAACTTGTCGTGAAAGTTGTTATGTGACGTTCATTTCTCTTAAAACGAACCACCGAGTATATTTATATTTCCTAATAAAGCAAAGAGTAGTTGTAGTATTAATTAATAAGTATGTAGTGGTCTTTGTTAAAATAAATAGACTCTAGGGTTTGATTTTGCCAAAATTATACTTCAGGGACTGATATTACGAATTATTCTCAAGACAGGGATTAAACATGTGCTTTTGAATCTGATTTGGAGCACCAGGACTTATTTTGTTAGGGTTTTCTGGTGGAGGGGCAATTCTGTTTAATTTAAATGCAGGTTTGAGTTACCCTTGACTTTTGACTGGGTCAAAATCTAAACCCGATTTCTGATTGAAGTCATGATACAGTCGATCAAAAAGGCTCCAACAATACAAAGAGGTGTCCTGTTCAAAGGGACGATGGAGAAGGAACGGGAACGAAAGCAATGGACGAATACAGTGAGAGGGGAAAACACGAAGTCTCGCAGGCACGACTTCGTTGCTCGGCCGCGAGAAGGTTCATCTCCGGGGTTCGACTAGACTGCAGAATGAAGGGAGAAGCAGCGGATGCGCTCTTCTCGGTCATGTGCTAGGTGTGAAGGAGACGAATGGATGGGCGACGTGTGCGATTGTCTCTGGGGTTTAACAAGGCCGAAGAGACGGAGAAGTAGCGAAGCTGCTGCGGTCTCGGTGGGGGCTACGATGGGGCAATCGGCGGTTGAGGAAGGAGGTACAGCTGATCTCCAGGGAGTCCTCGTGATTTCCATTCTCGTCTTCAGCAGTAGAACACAAAGAAGGAGCAGGGCATTTAGGTGATGATTCTTCAACAGGAAATGAACGGGATCAACAGGTACGGCTTTTTGTTTTATTTTGACAGAAATTAATAGATTTAATCAGTGGTTTTAGGTGGGTGTTTGTTTGATGTTTAACAGAATTGAAAGGAGGAGCAAGATGGATGTTTGGGTTTGATTTTTCACATGATTCGATAGGGCTCTTGCTGTTTAACAAAGGAAACAGGAAAACAGATGAGGGAAAGGGGTGTTTTTGGGTGATGAGATTCAACAGGAAAAGGTGAAGGATGGGACTGTCTTCGCCGGCGACAGTCACCGGTCTTCTTCCTTCTGTGGCCGACGATCAAGAGGAACGGGAAGGAGGACTCAAGGGTGAGGGAGAAATATACTCATGGTGTACAAAATTATTGAAAATGATATAAAACTTGATTTTTGCCAAGATTTAGTAGATTGTAATTGATTTTAGGTGGTACAAAATCAGAATCATAAAGATATATGTTGTAAACTCAAATGCTTTGTATTTTTATTTATTTATTTTGTGATGAAATCTCCGATTCTCGATTTGCATGCCATTAAATAGTTTCGTGAAATTTTTCTGAAAATGTCTGTCGATTGTCTTGGTCTTTGTGATTCTAAAAATGCAGATTAATAGGATCGGATTCGGCCGGTTTTACAAATCTAATTTTGGTCTAGGTTGAAAATATCCCTACTATAATAATACAGGACCTTTGTGGCCACATGCTTCTTCTAAGCGCCTCCCCATATTTGTTTCCCGCTCATTTTTTTCTAAGTGAAATGTCTAATATACCCCTTCCTCCTTCTAACACGATTTATAAGGATAACGTGGAAATGATACTGAATAATATTTTCCAACTTCAACCCGAGATCCCAACTGCAAACTTACCGATATTTCATTTTAATCAGCAAGATCTACATAACTAATAAATGCAATCTTGCGAAATCCCGCATGAAATTCGGCCTATTTGTTCTATCAATTAAACTAATCCCATGAAATTAGGAATTCCAACTTGATATCCAAAAATAACGACTGAAATTTTATTCAAATTTACATGGTATGCTGGTTATACAAAACGCGTATTAAGGATTTTGAATAGATATGTGTAATCACATAGTATATTGGATGAAAATTCCATCTACAAAAAACTTGCACCCCTAGAAATTCTTCATCGTACTCCTCTACAATCCGTCATTTTGTCACACCAATCAGAAGCAGGTAACCTTTTATTTCTTTGATTTCATTATGAACTATAAGAGGTAAATCTGATTTTAAGTGGCATGGTCGCTTTTTGTATGCCATGATAATCTAGGGTTTGCCGTATGACAAAGTATTTTTGATTTTTAGGTGATTGTCCGACAAAATGTGCAATGAGTTGATTCATTTCAATTTTTTCTTCTACCACATTAAAAATTTAAGGTACTATCTTTCTCCCCTCATATTGTTGTTTTAGGGCCTCTATGGTTATCTTTGTTGACTTTTTTTTGATGTGAAAAGCTTTTTTGGGGACATGTTTTGATTTTCTGGCGCCGAATCTCTGTCCCACCAGGATCATGTTTTTTTTATATATCATACATAGATATACAAAAAGCAACTTGTAAGTTCATCTCATGGCCTATGGGCATTTGTTCAAGGCGACAAAGCTCGAATGAAAACTTATGAAGCAGAGGGTATTATACTTCTTGCAAATGACCTTCACTTTTGTTCTTCCGAATCTATTATCAAATGGTGGTCTGGGTTTAACTTTGAACTTTGTGGTTGTTGGTGATCTTTACAGATGCAGAGTGAAACAGTGGAAATAGACATAATCAAAGTTACTTGAATTGCCGGAGACTACTTTTCAAATTTAGGGAAAATGTTAATGATATGCATTATCTGAGATTGAGTAACTTGAGAACATCAGATCAATTTTAAAATGACTGTGATTGTGAAACAAGGGAGTAGAAATTGTGTACATGATTTTTTGGTCACACATGAGTATAAAATTGAACATTATACATAACGTTTGACAGTTTTATTGATTGTATCTTTGGCTGAAACTTGCAGATCTTTGTTTTGGGTGGTACCTTTGGTTGTTTGGACAAGGATACTCAAAATTATAAAAAGTATACTACTTATCAATTTTTTATTTGTTTATCTTTATTTATCACTCGTGAAAGTATGTTGCCACTTCTGAAGTTAAAAGTTATAGAAAGTCCATTTTGATGAAGTACAATCAACATGTTTCTATCTTTTTTGTCATCACCATTTATGATTTGTTAAACATAGGTATTACATATTTGTTAAATTTTTAACACTTTTCTTTTCTAAATATGAATGCAGATTTTAAGATACAACCAACAACAAATAAGATTACCTGTTAAAGAATAAAACTGATTCTTTATTTGCACTCTTGAATCATTTTGAAGCTATTAGTCATGGGGTTGAACTAAGAATTTATCATAACCATTTTAATTGTGTTATTTATAGGTTTGTAGGGATTATGTTTGCCCATACTTTAAGAAAGATATATGTTCAGATGTGGTGTTTTTGATGCCAAAGATGTATGACCAAAACTTACACTTGGGATTCATGCCAAACTCTAATATTTGTTTCAATCGTTTAAGTTATGAATTCTCTTTTGATCCTTTAATTTTGTCAAAGTATATCATTTAGTAATCATGTGTTTCACTTCAAGTATTCACATATAGTCATATTGAACTATCTATTTAACTTTCTCAAAATAGAAGATGAAGTCATATGTTTAATAATTTGTTTTACAAGCAAAAAATAAATATTTTTATTGACCAAGTAAAACACTATAATAAGAAAAATGTATTCACATGTCCCTTTCCTTTTGTAATTTCTAGTTGTAGGGACTACATGGAAGAAGAAGGGTTTCATGTTAAGCTATTCAACTTTAATTGTACAACCAAGCAACAGGAAAAGCTTACAAAGTAAGAAAAATGTAATTACCTTTCCCTTTCGTATTTTTAGTGTTTAACAAAGCTTGAGGGAAGACATTAACAGAGTAACTCTAGACATTTTATGAGAGTGAATAATTTAAAATAGAAAGTGGTTTCAAACATTTTTAAAGATATTTGACTTAAGCTTAATGGGTTTAAACTTTTATTTTGGGATCTTGAAAAAGGTTTAACTTTGTGATTGATTGTCACAAGTTCCATGTTTTGGTTGATTTTAGGATTTATTGGTGCTTCTGGCTATTTTATTGAAGATGAAAGAGGAAATGGATGTCGAAAATCAATTGTTGCAAGGCCTGGTGTGATAAAAATCATAAAGGACGAAATAGTCTTTTTTGATTAAAAGTAAAATTGGATGCTTGATCGTTATTGTATATGGTTGGGTTTTTAAAATTACAATGTTGTTTTACTTAAATAATTTAACTACATGTACTAAATGATATTTTCACTTTGAAAATTCGTTTCATCAAGTCATGGATCCTTACATGGTTCAATAACAAAGATGATTTTTTTTCATTATGTTATTTTAATGGACAAATGTAACATCCCGAGTTCAGGAGTGCAAGTTCAAGGTTCAAAGTGTAAATGTGAAAGGGCAACTCGGCGAGTCCATGGTTGGACTCGGCGAGTAGGGTCGCGATGTTGGTCGCGTGTTAAGTGACCAACTCGGCGAGTCTCATGGGTGGACTCGGCGAGTTGGTGCTATATGGAGAAAACCCTAATCCCGGGGGTGGAGCCCTATATAATGAACATAAAACCCTCTTCCTAGCCTTTTTACCCTATCTTGAAGTCCAGAAAAACCCTAATGCACGTTTGTGAGTAATTTGAGAGCATTTGAACCTTGGAGAAGAGATTTTGGAAGAGAGCTTGGAGAGTTAGGAGGCTTGGAGCAAGGGGCTTTGCTAGGATTTGGATTTATCTTCTGTTGGAGCTTCCTTTTGAGGTATTATTTCGTTGCTTGGGTTGTTATTCATCTAGATTCATCATCTTGTAGTATTTGGAAAGAATAGCTTGTGATATTTTGAGTTTGGAGGTTAGATCTGGGGTTGCTACCTCAGATCTGGAATGGAGAAGGTCTAGAGTGCATTAAAGTCGATGTTCTTGAGTGATTGGTGAAGCCATCTTGTCCCAAACCCTAACCCTAGAGTCTCATATGCTTAGATCTCTTTGAATTCACGTAAAGTTTGCCACTTTACGTGATGGATGGGATGTATAAGGGTAGATCTATGTTTTTGATCATCCACATGGCCTGGAAAGCTTCTGAATGGGTTAAGATCTAGGGGTACTCGGCGAGTCACAAGGGTGTACTCGGCGAGTTGCATGAAGATGGGCAGAACTCGACGAGTTGGAAGAACAACTCGGCGAGTTGGTTGAAGATAGCCTTGGACTCAGCGAGTCTGTTCTTGGACTCGGCGAGTCTGGTCTTGAGGTCTTAGCCTTTCCTAGTTAAGCTAAGAATCGGTGAGTCAAGGGATGACTCAGTGAGTTGAGATGGGACTTTTCAGTGTTGGGGGACTCGGCGAGTCAGCGGGCTGACTCGGCGAGTAGGGTTAGTCAGGAAGTTGACCTTGACTAAGGACTTTGACTTTCCCCAAGAGTTGACCAGTTGACTTCCAATGGAATTTTGGTAATTTTGGTATTTATTAGGTTCAGTCTTTTGGCTTTATCAGGGGTGGAGTTCGTGTCGGAGGTTGGAGCAGCGTGATCTTATCTTTTCAGTCAGCATTTGCAAGGTGAGTTATCCTCACTATATCAATAGGGTCTAAGGCACCAAGGCCGACCCTTTATCGGATTGTAATCCGGGTATCGTTGTTATGTTGTTGCCTTGCTATGTTTGCATCCTGGTAGTTAGGATGATATATGCTAGTGACCGGTTAGGTCGGTATCTTGTTTAGAGTATGTTATGTTATGTGATCTGCTAGATCGGTTTGATTGGATGTCAATTGTTATGTGATTGTATGTTTATGTGCACATGGTTGTTTGACTGGAGTTGGGTTGAGGCGGGTCCTACTTTGTGCTGTAGGTCAACATACCCAGGGCGGGCTGGTT